AATGTTGAAAATTGCAAAATGGTGTTAAATCTAAAAAAAAACGTTTTCTTTATTTTCTTTGTGTTGCCTTAAAACACCCTGCATGCACCTCTTCACCCTGAAGCTGTTTTTAAAAAAACGTTATAGGCCAAAACCTTCTCAAACCTGTCATAAAACAATGTCTCAGGTATCAGCCAGCATATTTGTACCTGTTTCATTTGAAGTAAGTTCATGTAAGGAAGCTAAAAGCTAACATTATGTTTTGTTTCTTCGTGGTGTTAATGTTATGCCATTGTTTTGGCTTGTAATTGGACAACAGGAAGTAGTGGATCTGGGGTCTATCTAATGAAGCAGGTTCCACTTAGACAGGCTTTCTACACACAGCCATGATTAACTCTTTTTACAACAGCAGTTAACAACTTTCTCTGTTAATCCAGGCTTAGAAACTCAGGCTGTGATTAATCCATGATTGGATACTGTGAGCAGGTTAGAATAAACTATCTGGGACAATTTTAAGAAGAAAGATTGCAGTGGGGCACTTAGCTTGGCTGAAGTAGGCTGGAGAATATGTAGAGAAACTGGTAAACAGATCTCAGAGCACTAGGCTGCAGGAATACATGTGCCGGAAACCATAAAAAGAAGAATCATGACCTCAACCTCACCACAAGATGGAGATGACTGATTAGTCTGAAAAACTGAAAGTCCAGGTTACAGTGTGCTAAGCAGCGCATAAAATCACTACACTTATGGGACAAAGTGTCTTAGTCACTCAATACATATGATTTGAGTGAAAAGAGATCACAGCTTCGGTCTAAATCTAATTTGAATATTGATGAATCCTGGTTATTCCAAATTAGTTAGCACCCTCCTGTAATTAGAAATTAGCATATTACACAATCCCAGCACTTCCATAGAAGACCTTATTAAATGCAGGATATTTATATGGAGCATTTCTGCATTTCATGTGCATGGGATGATAGTGGTGGACCTCTGATTATGAGATAAATGAGATAAATAAGAACATCCAAACTAATACAGTATCTCAGTTTCATAGTAAGGCTGTTTACATTTGGTTATGTTCAGACAGAGATGTTACCCACACTATTACAGACTGAGCTGACAAATAGGTCAGTCAAGTTTCTAAAAATAAAAAAGACCACCTCTAATGTGCCTCTGTAGCCCCCTTGTAAAAGCACCAAAAATACAGAGCAGGTCTGGACATATAAATTTCAAAGGCCACATTATTATTTTATCTGTCCACCACAGCATATTGAAGTTAAAATCCAACCCTCCTCCCAGAGATCTGCTTTCACGCAGAGTTTAGTTCTGTGTCTAAAACGCTGCCCCACCCCTTTACTTAACACTAATGCATCTGATCCAGCCTATCATGGACTTGAGAAGAGTTTACTGGAGCAAGAGTGGCAGATTGTGATTGAAATTAGGCTCTGCAGGAAGGTAGATCTCCAGGACCGGGATTGGTGACCACTGTTTAAGGCCTCAAAAGTCATTAAACAAATAAACATAGCCAAAAATTATTATTCATTACCAATACTGCCTAAAGTCTGGAATCCACAGATATCACCAGACACTGAGTTTCTTCCCTGGTGATGTTCTGCCAGGCCTTTACTCCAGCTGTCTTCAGTTCCTGCTTGTTTTTAAGGCGTTTTACCTTCAGTAACTTAAATACATGCGTAAATTGATTGAGGTCAGGTGCAGGGATGCATGACTGATTAGGCCAGCAGGGCCAGTGCCCAAGGGGCTCAGGGGGTCTAACCACTACAGATATAAACATTAGACTAGCAACCGAATATGTACATTTGACTAAATAAATAAAATGCAACTAGAAAAGTTATTTGTTCTTAGGCCTCTAAAGTTGTATATTATCATTGATTTTGAAAACTGTTACAGTATAGATACAACAGAACAACAGAGTAATAGATACAATAATCATTAATAAGGCTAATTTTGTTTATTCTCAAAACAACAAAGATGAAAATTTGTGTTGCTGATCCCAAACTATTGTTAAATTATTCATTAATTTGTTTATTTGTTGTTATATTTCGAGGAGCTTCCTAAGATGCTGGTGCCTAGGGGCCACACAAGACCATGATCCCTCCCTGGTCAGGGGATTGATAGTTCTATTGGTAGCCATACATGCCCACGCCATAACACTACCTCCACCATGCTTGACAGATGAGGTGGTATGTTTTGGATCATGAGCAGTTCCTTCCTTTCTCCATACTTTACTCTTCCCATCATTCTGGTACAAATTAATCTTGTCTCATCCATCAATAAGATGTTGATCTAGAACTTTTTGGCAAATATCTGGTTGTCCTGTTTTTGAGGCTTACCAATAATTTTCATCAGAGGTGATCAGTCTTGATCCTGCAGATCTACTGTCCTAGAGCTGAACTCCAACACACCTGGCTCTAATTCTCAGATACCATTGAAGGCCTTCATTATGTGAATCAGGTGTGTTAGATAAGGTCGAAGCTAAACTCTGCAGGGTGGTAGATCTCCAGGATGAGGACTGAGCATCTCTGGTTTACATCTTGTGGTAACCCCGCTGTATTTACTCTGATTCTCTCGATTGTTGACAATGACAAAGATATTCCTACCTCCTGGAGCGTGGTCCTGATCTGGCCGTCTGTTGTAAAAAAGTTTTTCTTCTGCTTTCTGTTATCAACCACACTTGTTTTCCATGGTTTTCCGGTCTTTTTGGTGTTTCTGAGCTCACTGGTACATTTGTTCGTTTTAAAACGTACCAACTAGTTGATTTGGCCACATCTAATGGTTTTGCTATCTCTCTGATTGTTTTGTTAATATTTTTCAGCCTAATGATGGCAAGCATTACTGGAAATGACAGTTTTTGGACTTTATGTTGAGAGTTAATAGCAATAGATTCCAACAGTAAATGCCACACTTGAAAATTGAAATTTTCCGTTCCGCCTTAAATGGTGCAGCAGTTACATTTTGGCGCCTCAGCAGTTCTTGTTCGAATTTCACAACTGCTGCACCACTTAAGGTGGAACTGGGAAAATGCGAACAAGAAGCTTGCGAATAAGAAGTTGACTTTACCTTGTTTATTTGTTGTACACAGTCAACAGATAAAACACAAGAAAAAAAAGTACCTGTTGGCTCATATTCGCTGTGTCCCCTGGATAAATGGATGTAACAGCGCACAGCTTCAATAAAAGTTTAGTGGCAAACCTGTTTTTGAATAAAATTTATAAAAGTCTTCTGGAAAATGGCTTCTGCAAAGTTTTCTCTGGAAGTTTGGCTGGGACAGTCCGATTTCTCAAAAAAACTGCACCTGTTTTTCTCTAATTGTCATATCCTTTGTTAACTTTGTTAACTTTGCATCTGAAAACAGAACATGTCTCTGCCATCATTTTGAAAAATATGCAAAACGTAGCTTGTAAAATACGACACGCAACCAGCTAGCTACACCAGACTCTGACACAGCTCATTCCACCTTATTATTATGCTAATGATATGGAAAGCCTCACTCTATAGACAGAATTTGTTCCTCAGGTTTGTGACATATGAAACGCAGAAATTATGCAAGTGCAACTTCATCACACACTGTAATTTATTTTATTTGTATTTATTATTTATTTTATTTATATAAGCATTTTAAAATATATTTACCTTAGCCTTTACCAAACTTTTATTAAAATGAAGTATTAATTCTCATTCATTCTTGCATACAAAATAATATGACTCTTGTACGTAGGTGGCCCACAAATAGGATTTTTGCTTAAGGACCCCCAAATGTATAGAAAGAGCCCTAATTAAATTTATGCAGAAATCATCAGGAATAATGAAAAAAAGAAACTTCACTTGCACCTTTGGAATATTTAAAATGGCTGCAATGATACATTTGCTTCCTGGCAGCCAAGAACAGCACAACATTTAATCGCTTTCTTCAACTTCAACTCCAATAACTCTGCTGCACTCCCAATCATGTCACTGTGAATAGTCCGTCACATGTAAATGTCTTCATGGTTGTGACATCATGACCATGATGAATTTAAAAGGTTTCTATACACTAAGAGTTAATTTGCAAAAAACGAAAATCGCCATCCTTTAGCTGACTGCAGTGAGTTATTCTTAACACACAGTGCAGTCTGAACCCTAAATACGTTGTATCACGAAAGACATTACTGTTCATTGTCATGGCACAGAAGCAGTCAAACGCCAGACGGTTCTCAAGCAGAACCTGATAAATCCGTTCAGCGAATCAGCACCCAGTATTCAGGTCAGGTGCCGCAACACTGCTGTGAACTGTTTCAGGCAGAATCCCAAATGGCTCCCTTCTCACTACAAAGTGCACTACATAGGTCTTAAAATAATGGCTACTTAATCTAAACACTGCACAGTCTGTCTAACAAAGAACCTCTGTGGATTCAGCCATGTGTGCACAATTCCATACTGGACATAAAGTGCAATATTTGTGTGTGAGGCCAATATTTCATAACTCACATGGTGCACTAAATATGGAGCAGTGAGCCATTTGAGATTCAGCCTTAGGATTTACTGAGGTATGATCTTATAGATGTTTAATGTTGCTCATTATTGGGCTGTTTTTGTTGCAATTGTCAGCACTTTACCTGCTTATTTTATGTTAAAGAAAGTTAAATACTGCACTTGTAGCCATTAAACAGCTTTGTTTAACTCTGAAACATGAGATGACCATTGGAGTTATCTGCTTTTACCAAAAAACAAAATAAAAAAAAAAACAATTTTAAATAAAGTTTCATTTTGTAAGTTACCTGTATTTTGTTATTTTTACTTAATCAAAACAACACAACAGCAGTTTGATTGATATAACCTGGAATGCACAATAAAAATTGTGATTTATGAAAAATCATTAAAATGGAGATCTATTTTTGCAAATAAACTCTTCATATGGACAGAGTGGACTGGAGAGTGAACTGTAACTCTGTGAACTCTTTTTAAAACTTTAAACATGTTTACATACTATATTAAACTCTTATTTCAATAAAGCAAGGAAAATATTAAGAAAAAATAAGAAAAGAGAGCTGGTTTTATTTCTAAAAGCTTTTAGTGTCTTTTACATTGTTCACTTATTACAATCTGAACTGATAATGAAGGTAACATTAGCTTATGGTTATGATTGGACAGAAAACATTTTTAAAAGGCCCAAATCTAGGCAGTGATTTTTTTTTTGAAGATGGACAGGTGCAGTGGTCACGTTAATACGTGCTGGTCAGGTCTGAGAGCCCCCTGCTTCTTTTGCTGTTTTGGAAAAGAGACAAATGGTTATAAAGTGTAGCAGTGAGTATTTTAGAAATAAATCTAGCATTACTGACCACAGAGATTAAAACCCCAGCAGTCTTGCATTATTTTGATGTGTTAATGCTTTAAGTGTCAATGTCTACCGCTTCTGTGAGATTCTATCGATGACGTTGTTGATCCACGGTGCATCAGGGGACACACACAGTACCCTATTGTCCTTCGTGGTGATCCTGGAGAAATGAGATGAGTTAGCATTGTTGCCACTTAAATGACCCTTCATAACCCCTTAAACCTATTAAGCTCAGGCCTGTATACTGACTCACAGGATTTCAATATTGCCGCAGTTTGGACCAGGAGGCAGGATCTCGATCCTCTTGAACAACCGGGTCGGGATTTGCCTGGAGGTAGTGGTCAGGCAGCGGCATTTATGGCCAGTAGCAAAGCCACGCATGGAAGTAGCTGGAGATTTAGAGAGTTGCTACAAGTTATAATGAATCAACACCATCACAACATCACCTTTTCATTCTAAAGATGAAGAAACCAAATAAGAACATTACTGATCCTTCATGGTTAGACTGGATTTGAGTATTATGGGACATCTGGTCATATGACATAGTATGTAATATGTTAAGTGTCCTCTTGCATATTTAGGTAACATGGGTCAAGTGTGTCAACGAATGATTTCAAAGTGTCTGTTATTACTTCATGACCCAGAAAACCCCAATTCACTCAACGTTACATCCTAAATGTCACTGATTGCAAATTTAAATACATCTTCTAATAACTTTAGCCACTACAAAGATGCCTCAAAAAGTCCATCATCAAATTGTCATTGCTTTACTGAACTACTGAGGAAGGTTCCTAGATGGTGTTTGGCTCGGTCGTACATTTCTAGGAATATCTTTTAATTGGTACATTAATTACATTATATAAAGGTTCTATAAAATGTTATTCAGACTTACACATCTCATTTACAAAAATGGTTCTTCAAAGAACCATCCATTGAAAGTGGGTGAAAGTTTTAAGTAACCATATATGAATCACTCCAAAGAATCCTCTGTTTAAATTGTTGTGATCTGTCAGTACAAAATAGTCTCTTACCAAGTGTGGTGGCAAAGCAGCAGAGAGCGGTGGCTGCCAACAGCAGACGGGCGCTGAGCATCATGGTGGTGCTGGAGGACTGGTGATGGTGATTGTCAGTCTGGGATAAAAAGTGGTGCATTGCTGGGTATTTAAGGATGCTCAAAAAGGGAAGTCATGGAAACATCATGTATGCTAATGCGGGGGAAAGAGTGGGAGGGTATGAGCATAGGGCTGTTACAGGAAAGCTTTGCGATGGCCCTTTGTAGAGGAGGCGTAATGTACAGTTTCAGCTTATTCGGTTTATTTTATGATATTCCCTCTGGGGGTGGCTGGTGAAAATTTTGATGACTTTTTACTCCGCAGTGTTCTCTAGTCAAACAAGTCTGTGTTTTGGTTCTGTTCTAGCACTAGACTATGAAATTCAACATACTATGAGAAATGACTGTTGGAACTGGACCACTCTCCAATAAACCAAGAGGGTTATTTCACTTACAAACTGAAAATGTGTGAACATTAATTCTAGTAGCATTTGACTGAGTTAAAATATCTGGCATAATTAAGGCAACACCTTACTGAAGGGCAGCATTCATAAGGACACCTACATTAGTCTCTCATGGCCAACCTAAAGCTACATAAACATTTATAAAGGCTTATTCCAAGTGTTATTTCTCATAAACGCTGCTTTGGTTAATTTTTACATGACATTTCACCTCAGTAAATGACATGACAACTGTTATAGAAGTCTGTATAAGTTTATGTCAGTTATCATGAAAGGCTTATGAATGCGCCCTTCAGTAAAATGTTACTATTTTTATTTATTGCATGCTGACATTAATGATAATGGAAAATCTGCTTTGTTCTCTTTAATTTGGACAAATACATCTTGAAAACAGGAATAAAGATAAGAGTTGTGTGATGCAGTAGCTTCTAAAGGAAACACTCTTTGAAAACAGAGAATTTTTTGCAATTTTATCCCAATGCACCCCTGGCTTATACTGCTCAAATCTATGTCTCTGCCAAGATTGGGAGGGTTAGTTCAAAATGTATTCTGTTACAGATTACTGATTATCTGTTAAGAAATGTAACAGTAACCTAATCCAAAAGATTACTATATTTACTATATTTATATTTGTCATTTTAAAGATGTATAATTAAATAAAAAAAGGAGAAAAATAATTTTAACAAGAGTGTTTCAGCAAGAATTGAACTTAACACAGGGCAAAAATGAAAACTGCACTGTTTTGTTAAACAGAATTTTAGATGACTTAAATATTGTGCGTCAAAGAAACGCTGATAATCTCATATTTAGCAAAACTGCCAAATCTAAGCGGAGCAATGTATGGAAATATTTCAACTATAAAGATGATAAACTACAATATAACAATATAACAATATAATGTTTTTGGGGTTAAACGCGTATTCTCGTGAGTGGTGATTCAAGTGATTTTAAAAGGAAGATGAAGAAATTAGTACACTGACTCTAAAAGCTCTTAGACTAAAACACAGGGAAGCAATTAACTGATGTAGAATAATCCATGACACTGGATCAAATACAGTGCAGTTAAAAGCTCTACTGCTCTACTCTGGGACTTTACTTGCCTTATTTGCTAAATATCTGTTGTGCATGTCAAAAGATCAATCTGGTAGAAATATTTTTTTTGAGATCCCAAACAGTGATTAAAAACAGAGGTCAATCATGTGCTCCGTCTGCTAAAAGGCTGCACTGGATCATAAGGTTTTATGGTGGTGCGTTGTACTCGGATGATGGTCACTTGTAGACGCTCCCTGATCAGTTCTCAGCGGGTTCAGCAGTTAATGGAACTCAAAGCGGCCTACGAGTTCAAAAGGCATTATTTTCACACGAAAACTAAGTGGCAGCTGATCGTCTTAGTTATAAATAATGATAATTTACACGTATTAACATTTTGCACCCATTTTTCATCAGAAAAGAGTGAAACTTCACTGCTGACGACACTTCGCTCTATTTTCACGTTTTGGATCTGTTAGTTAGTTAATCTTAGCTCCCTTCAGCATTAAATCCTAGCAGGTTAAGGTTCTCAAAGGTTTGAATTATATCCAGTCAAACTGTAGATTTTTATGCAGCAACAAACGAGAATAAAGGGCTGAGTTCCAAATCAGATCAGTTTACTGTTGCAGAATCTGGCAACCAGAGTAAATAACTGATTCAGATATCTTCAGGAAAACACTGCATCGCAGTTCTGCCAGAAAAAATAAAATACTTACTGAAGTTTCTCTAGATCGTCTGGTAGATTCTTTAGAAATCTCTAATGGCGGGAGGACCCTCCTCCTCCTTTTTTGACCCAAATAAAAAATTTCGACAAATGGCGACGAGTTTGTGTTTTTTAATCTCCCCTGTGTTTATAATGCAACCACACGGAATCAGGAGGTTCTATTTTTGGATCCTGATTACGTTACTACCCAGCCCTTCTCCCCTTCTTCCTGCACTCCCCAGCCAAGTTTCCATCTGCAGATGACGAGCATGAGCTGTGTGTTGCTTCACGTTTTCATTTTTACCACAGCTGTGGGAGCTGAACTTTGTTGATATGAATTTTCAGAGGACAGCTGGCTTTCAGCAGACTGTTTTTTTGTTGTGGTACTGTATTTTTTATCACCACATAGCTGCAGAAGTTTGGAAGTCAGCTTCAAACTGTCAGAAGGATGCTACTGAAAAGATTCTCAAACAACCCGTTCTGCTTTTGTCAGAACCTGCTAGGGCCAGGTGCTCCCTGACCAAGCGATGGACCACCTCCATCCTCTGTGGCAGAGCCATCATATAATCTGGAGAAGGTTGCTCTGGTGGTTGTCAAGGGGTCATATATGATGTTGAGGGGGGCTCTCAGCTCCCACCTTATCATGAGAGGACCTGGAGAGCATCCAGTGGGTTCCTGCACGGCCGTACGACAGTCAGAGAAAAGCAGGGGCAGGAGTTCATTCCAGTCACGCTCCTGCTGGCCCACCAACAAGCCTAACTGCATTGTGAGCGCGCAGTTAAACCGCCCTGCTTGTCCGTCACTCTGCGGTCTCAAGGGTGTGATTCGTTCTGACCCCTGGTCACTGAATCTGGTGAACATTCCTTCCATGAGCCGGTCCATGACAGTGGACGCCTCTTAGTTGGGGACCACATATGCCTCCAGACACCAGCATGTAGTGATTACCCCTTTCTGTCATGAGAAACGGGTCCAGGATGTCCACTGTTACTCATTCCAGGGGGCCGTGGACTGTGGTTGCTGCAGGGGTGCTTGGGACTGTTCCAGTGGGCCCTTCTTAGCTGTGCAGATGCCACATCTCTTGTGGAACCACCTTATATTGGCCCGACACCCCACCCAGAAAAAACAGGCTGCCAGTCTTGTTTTGGTGATGTGGAGGTGTCCTGTGGATGAGGTGCAGAACCTGCTGACGGTGGGAAACAGTAACCACCAGTTGCTATAACCCTCTGGCCCCACTGGGGGACCTCCACTGTCTGTAAAGAGCCCCCTTCCACAGCTCCAGCATGTCCTACAGGCACTTAGTTGCCTCACTGTACAAAACTAACTCCTGCCACTCCACGACTGATGCAATGAGAGGGTCTGCCCTCTACTCTGTCCACAGCTCTTCCATGTTCCAGCCCCCTAGCATGGGAGAGTGTCAGATGACTCTCACCAGCCAAACTTCCACCTCTCAGTCCCGCTCCCCCTACTCACTAGACAACCCATCAGTGTTTGGTTATAGATAACACCAAAAAGGGTTCTGCTGTTATGTTGTCAGAATTCAGACTGAATTTGGCTCAGTGGTAGGCCAGAGAGAAAAGCTTGTTGATTCAAATGTTTGAATTTTTATCAACCCACCATCCATGAGTCTGTGCTAACATTTCTAATCCATCACAATGGTCACTAAAACCAAGATCAAACACAGTGGAGGCAGTAATTTTGTCACTTCTACTGAATAGGATTAGGTCAATCAAGGTGGACTTACTAAGATCTTTTGGATTTGGTCGAGTTGACTCAGTAGTAAGTTATGTGAGGGAGAGGTTTTCACACAGTTCTTTCAAATGATTGCATGCATTAGTCAACCAGTTAGAGAGTTAAAGAATTTACGAGTTAAATGGGAATTCCACTGATTTTAAAAATGTCTGTATAATTCAAACCAGTCAGAATGGTTTGATGTTAAATCCTTTATTCAAACTTACCGAGACATAGATGTTCACAGTGGCGGTGATAGGAACCAGACGTCTGAAGAGTTAAGTAGCTCTAAATGTTTCCCGTTACAGAAAGTATTACAATAAATCATTACGAATTCCTCAGACATTGTTTCTGAGAGAAGGTTGACACAAAATATAACCTGAAGAACACTTCTTTTTTCAGATTTACTACTATTTTACCATTTACCATTTGTTTTGTATAACAAATAAAATTATTTATGTTGTAGACATTATGACTCCTGGTTGCTATCACCACCACTGTGATGAAAGTTTCTCTAGAACGAGAAACTACTCTGAATGACTTTATTTGGACTAGCACACTTGCACTGCCACAGCCTTCTTTACATGGGATAATAAGCTTGGCAGTACTTAAGCCAAATACGATACTTCGTAATGAAACAGTTTGATGAAGGCATCTTAGCCAAACATCTTAACAAAAAGAGCATTGAAGAGAAGCGCTCCAGTCCTGCTTGTCCACTAGGTGGCATCCAAACTCCTCATTTCTTTTTTTGCATTTCCTGGAATTAAACTTGGTTCTGGTCATTCGTCTTAGTAAACAAAGATAATCTGCAGCACATTTACAAACTTTGTAAATCCACAAACTCTGACACTACAATTTTTATAGTAAATAATTAAATCATGTACTTGCATTCCTAAAGATTACCTCTTTTACATTCATTACAATTTTTACATTTATACACAACATGTAAGTGCTGAGTAATAATACTATAACACACACACCCTTATGTCATTATAATATAATATATAATATGTATGATTATTAAAACACAATACATGTATAATAAATAGAAATTAACCAATTACAACATCAGAATAATTCATATTATTATAACATTTAAAAGCCTGATATATGAGCACAAAGGATACATAATCTTCATGCCATATAAAGTGAAAAGATGTGTCTTGTACCAAGCTTATATATTTATTTTTTTATCAATTTTATTACATACTGTTTGAAGCTATTTTGCATTTCTTTTACAACAGTGAAATAGCTATATAGAATGTTATGAAACCACTGTTACACAACTTTATGTATAGACATTTCTGTGTCTATGTAACACTTCCTGTCTCAAATTCAGTGGCAGGTCACTTCAGGCCATTATTTTTAACTTCTTAATGGGATTTTCCCACGGAGAATGACCCGAGTACACAGAGCATGCTATTGGTGGACTGGAAAGTGAAAGTGAATGATGTATTTCTATAAAAAATAAAGCCACATCCTCCTTACTACCCTCTTTAACTAAGTGCACTTTGTCCTCCTCGTTACCAGCTGAACTTCACAATGAAAGCTACTACTCTCATACTGCTATTTTTGGTCATCTTTGGATTGACTGCCATGCTGTGTGCAGGTAAGATCATATATAGTTCTATCAACATGGTCATCTATACTAGCTGCGCACATTTATATCATTTTTTAAGATGGAAGGCTGGTCAAGTAAAAAAACAAACAGTAAATACTTTTTTTCTGGAATTCACTTCATGCTCTAATCTGGGTATTAAAACAAAGTTATTTATCCACTGAGCTACTTATTAACTCACTACATTTTGGCTGTTTGGCTCTGCAGGAAGGGTGGGAGGACAAGGAGAGCGCTGTTTGTGCAGAGGGAAGATCCAGAAACGCGTGAGACTTCAAAATGTTCAGAAGATTGAGAAATTCTACCCAAGTCCCTCTTGTTCAAAGACTGAGATAGTGTGAGTTTGCACTATTTGTTTTCTTTTATTTTTTCTTGTAAATCATTCAGCATTACGTTCAGATAATCAGGCTGACCAGTATTGTAATGTTTCCCAGTAAGCAACAATTTTACTATGTGTCTAGTTGTTATAAGGGATAATTATTGAAAAAGAAGAATCGGAATAGATGACATGCACTACACAATGATCAATATGTTCACTTGTCCATTTGTTTGAGATCACTGACCCCCATATGCAGAAATTACCTTCAGTGATAAAGAAAACAAGAAGAATATGCAGTAAATATAAAGTAATGTGCTTGTTTACTCACTATTGCCATTTCTTAACTAAGCTGATGCTCTAATGTACGTTAATAGTTGAAGTATATTGTCAAGTTATTGTAGCTACCCATTAGTCATGGGAGTAAAATGGGGCAATGGTGATATTAAGCATTCAAAAAAAGGAGGTTTTGGGGCCCGACCACCAGTGCACAGTGTTTGGTAGTAACGATTACAAAAATCATTAATCAAAGTAGGAATACACTTCGTCAGATTACAGTTAAATTAAGAATGAGTTTTTAATTTGTCAGCATCAGTATGTCAGTATATGAATTCTTGATTTGTTTGTTTTTCCTATAAACTAGTTTTCCTATAAACAGCCGTGTCACGATGACTGATAAACGACAGTTATGTGTGGTTTTAGCTGAAAGAAGAAGGAGTTGTAGAAGTCAGACAGACTGGTCAGCATTTGAACCGAAAACCAGAAGTAGTCCAGAAGTAATCCAAAAGTACTGAAATTAGATTACAATTTTAAGTCACCTAAAAGATTACATGACTGATTACCCTGTTTATGATTTCTTAAGTTCTCAACCAAATGTTAATGAAATGCATTTATCCTTTCTACGTTTTCCAGAATCTCACTGAAGAGAGGAAAGACAGTCTGCCTGGATCCAGATGCAAGACAAGGAAAGAATATCCTAAATGGCAAAAAGTGAGCACCTGCCATCACTTGTAACATCACTGGGTTTTAGCTCACTTTTAGCTTACTTCTCTCGTTCTCTTCATGTGGAAAGTGTGATAAACACATAGTTGGCATACACTTTTTTCCCTCTGCTTCCAGACGAATGAAGCCCAAATCGCAAGGAGGTGGGAAGAACAAGAAGAAGAACCGGCAGTGAGACCTTAATACACATGCAGAGGCATTCCACCAACAGAATACTGTTTAGTCCCACATCCATTTTCAAAGAATATATGCACAGATTATATGTTTTTATATGCATTTAAAAGCTATATGTATTATGAACTTTTTAAAATATGGGTATTTAAAATTTCTTTACATGCATTATTTTAAGTAACAGTAACAACTGTGCACAGGTTTTGAAATGCAATGTGCAAGCATGCACCTACTAACCTGCTAAATGAGGAGGAAAACCAATAAGTCACATGATAAACAGGAAATCATTAAGACCCTTCATTGCAACATAACCGCCCCCCACCCCCCATCCCTCAGGGTATAAGTATCAGTAAGATGGCTGAACACACATTAAAACATTATAGACAAAAAGGTACTCTATTTGTGGAATGTCTCTGCACTCAGGCCTGCCCTACATTGTTACAACAAATGACAAAAGCCCCTTGTTTGCTGTGTCTAGTCTGGGATTAATGAGCGTTTTCATTTTTTTCACTCACTGCTGTATCACATGGGGTTACTTAGCCTTTGCCCAATAACTGCTTCATGTATGATCATTCAATCAACTGACATTAAGGTTCAGCTTTGTTCCACAGGACTTAGTGTCTGTGTGATAACATTTACAGTTTGATTTTTGCATTTTTTAAACTTTTTTTTTCTCATTTCTTCAATGACAATCACAGTGTCAACTGAAAGAGAAAATAAAATACGCTTCTGAGTTCATACATTTCAGCCAGCATGCATAAAATGTCTACCTCCTCTTCTTTTGTACGTCATGTAAGTGGTGTTTGTGTATTCAGTTTCCCAACAAAAAATAAATCTGGGGTGTAATTTGACTTGCTTATGTTATCCCATCTCTTCCCATAATACACATTTGGCCCCATTTACTAGTAGGATGTTTGCTTGCTTTGATTCTTAACAAGTAATTGACCTTTCAGGCATCACATTTACCAACAACATGTAAATATTTATAAGAAGGAATATTTCATGTATCTATGATATAATTGTTGATATACAATGAACATGAGTTAATTAAAGGGAAAATTCACCTTTTTAAAAAAAATTTAACCTTAATTATTTGTTACGGTTAAAATCTTTTAGACTTGGTCAAGTCAACTCCATAATAAGTTGTGTGAGGGAGAGGTTTCCACAAATTTCCTTCAAATGATCAGATCCGTTAGTCAACCAGTTAAGGGCTTAAAGAGTTAAAGGGATCATTAAGATGTAATATAAAACAATATATAAAACTATATATATATATATATATATATATATATATATATATATATATATATATATATCCAGTCATAGAGAACAAGCACATGCAGAGCTTTATTATCACTATTTATTACTATTTATTATCATCATTAGATACAAAATGAAGCATTTTCTGCAGAGCATACGTTTAATGCGTCTAAAAGTTACCCCATAGAAAAGACATTTATTCCTAAAATGTATTCTTTTAGCCCGTTATGGTGAAGGGTAACGTGAAGGCAAAATATTCCTCAAAAGAAAACTTTTTGGTTTCTCAATATTACAACACTGTAAAAAAATCGCAAAAAGACATAAAAGAGTTTTTCATAATTTCATATAAAAACACTCAAAATTACTTGGTTTGTAAATCCATAAACCAGTCACAAGAGTAAATAATGTACCCAATATAAATAATGTTAATGTACTTAAATGTAAGTAATTAAATAATGTTTAGCAATGAATGACAGAAATGAGGCTTTTTTAAATATATATTTTTGGTTGGAAGATGCTAATAAACTCACCAAACCTAACAGATTCATGTTTAAATATAATCTTCTTGTGTTTACTTTCTGAGCACGAGGTACACATGAAGGCGGCCTGCGTTTCATATGACTTTTTGCCAACTTTGTATTTTTCCATTATTCGCTTTTATCCGGGGGGGGAAACACTTTGAGGAACAGCATCATGCGACAACTTTCAGTATAACTAAGTCACATCACAAACAGCACCAAAAAAGCAGCAAAGTGTTTGGGTTTTAACCTTTAGATCCTCATCCTTGCAACTCTGTGGCAGATTATGTTGGCTGATGTAGCAGTGTTTTGTTTCACTAATGTAATTTATCAAAATACAAACGCTGGTTATCCATGTTTCCAAACTTGTGAGATCAAATATCTTTTACCTGAACTGATTTAAACTACATCAGGCAGATTGTCTTTGTTTTTTGTTTTTGTAATAAAATTACAAGTAAGCGGTAAGTGACAAAATTGGTAAATAAATAAGTGAATAAGTAAGTAAATAAATAAATAAATAGATAGATATTAAAAATCAGGCTTAACTGTGACTTTTTGCGTGGCATCCATTGTTTGAGGGGAATTCAGAACAGTGCAGTACTTTCAAACATCTTTCAGTACTTGTACCTTCACTATTTTGATCCTGCATTTCCAGGAATTAGAAAGAAAATGAGAAAACAGAAAGTTTGAGCTCAGAAAATGTCCATAAAAACCCCACTCCTGCATGCATTTCATACCACTGTTGAAAAGTGTGTACACAAGATGGTGTTTGCTTCTGTAGTCTGTCAGTGATATGCACATTGTCACCACAAGGAGATGTACAAGTTTAGCATTTAACCTGGAGGCAATATTTTATATGGGTGCAAAGTTATGCAAAGTTAATGTAAATAGACTAAAGTTGTGCAAGAAAATGGGGTAAAGCTGCATTAATATCCTATTCATCATATTATAATGTATTTATGATTCTATTAGAATTTTGTGAAACCAAGGATTTTTTTAAAATACAATATATAAAACATGAAGTTTTAATTAAAATATTTATTTTTTTTATTATACATTAAAACAAAATGATTCAAAATCTCTTCAGCTTCACAGGAAATGACTGCGTTCTTACAGTAAGAGGTCAGCAATGTGCTGGTGAATGAGTGGCAAAAACAAAATGTTTGAGGGGAAGTACAGTTTACCTAGACTGCTGGTCTGCGAGGTGTATGCCTGCTGTTTGTGGCTACAACTGATGTGAGTTGTCAGTCTAACGGAAATGTATGGACCTCTGCCAGGAGTAAATAGTGGGAATCATCTGTGAACAGCTGAATTCTGCAGGAGTTGGAGTGTGGTCTTCAGTAGCACATAGCCTTAAGTATGTTTATTAGGTATGAATGTCACGTGCACCCTCACTAAATGCAAGAAATCAGAAATAAATCGATCATCCGTGCTATCTGACAGACAGACATATGGTACTTTCAGATGTGCAATCCAAATGCTAAGCCTTACAAACAGGAACAGCATTTGTAATCAAGCCGCAGACATCATCCAAGAGTTTACTCAATGACAACCCAAACAGAGTGATATAATATGACCCCGGGCCACTGCTGACTACAAGTAAAAGTGTTTCTGAGAAATCAAACGAGGCACGAGAGGAAGCTGTACGCTGAAACTAGAAGCATCTGCCAAAAAAGTCATTTCCACCACAGGCATAGAGTGGGGAAGCCCCGTGGATGTACAGCGACACATGCTAAGCCTTTTTGTGTTGGTCTTATTGTTTGCATGATTATTTTCTTTCATATAAACCTAAAAAATAGAATGGATTGTGCCTACAGACTAGAGAAAAACAAGCGTGTCTTATTGTGAATGAATGCTTGCCTTGCATCCCTTTTTTATTTAGTCATTTTTAAACATAGGTTCATTTTTCATTCTCAGATTTCAGGTAAATATATGTTATTGGTCAGCTAGTACTACCTTTTCTATAGCAGGCATTCTCCATTATTCAACTGGTGAGTTAAACCAGAGACTCACTTTGAGAATTAAACATAAAACAAAAAAAAAAACAATATATCTATAGTGGTATTGCTGGAACGCTGAAACACTGGATGAAAAACATTCACAGCAGTAGGTATTGAGGTTGTACATTAATTGACTCCATACTGTAGTGTCTCTATAACAATGCCACATCTGTGGAAGCTATAACAAAAGCACTTTGCTTTCACTAATACAGGAAAAAGTACACATGGACACAGAACAATACAAAGCAAGGGCAGCATCACCGCATATGCTTTGATGCATAAATGAAAGAAATCACAAAGACAGGCAGATATATTTCTACATAAATCTCTCGTTCTTTACCAAATGAGATAGATGACAATATCAGGACAATCATTTAGCTACTGAGATAACAGCAGCCTCACAGAGAAGTACTGTACAGATACAAAGAACAAATCTTCATTCCAAAAAAAAAAACTTGGGACAGTATGTGAAACTACATGATGAGTACAAAAACATGATTTTTAAAGTTTTGACCTTATAAGCATTTTTTGTAAATATAAGCTTGGATTCCTGCAACATTTCCAAAAAAAGTTGAGACAGGAGCATGTTTCCTACTGAGCATGGATGTCTCTGAAAAAAACATCATCTAGAAGGTGGCATAAGTTTCCAAAATGTATATATAGCTTTCAGCGTTAATGATGCCTTCATAAATGTGCTAGTTACCCATACCATTGGTACTCAAAGGTTGATTTGTCAGACTACAATACATGTTAAATGCATTAGTGCATTTCTGATGAGCTCAAGCCCAGAGAAGCTGGCAGCATTTCTTGACACTGTTGATATAGATGTATGACTTCCACTGTGCATAGTACAGTCTTAACTTGCATGTGTGGATACAGCGACAAATTATGTTTATTGACAATGGTTTGTCACAGTATTCTTGAGCCCAGTCTCAATGGCTGTTAAGGTATTTTTATTTATTTATTTTTTGGCCTTGCCTTTTACACACACGAGATTTCTTCAGATTAACCAATTCATTTGATGATATTATGCACAGTAGAGAGTAAAGTAACAAAAATCCTTTTAATTGAATGGCATATACATCTTAACTCCCAGCATTTTTGGAACATTTTGCAGGCATCATTTTCAGAATGAGCATATTTTTACAAAAAACAATAAAAGTGAAAAGAAAAATCTTGTCTTCATACTATTTTCTTTTAATTACAGGTCAATGTGGATTTATAAATCACTGCTTTTATTTGCATTTCACACACTGTCATACTTTTTTTTGGAATTAAGGTTTATACAATAGCATAGCATGAAGGAACTTTTTCCTTGCATTCTCGATACTGTTGCTTGAATAAACCTAGTTTTGACTGTGAAATAAATGGTCTATCAGTGAGGCCTGTTAGAATTTTCTGAAATGAGTACCATACTAATTAAAAAACCAGGAGGTTTTCTTCATAGTTATTTCTGGTATCTTTGGTCATGGATCAGAAAACCTTAGGGAAATCGACCGGAATTGCTTTCTTTAACCGTTCCCCCAGGGTTCAAAACAGCTGGGAGAATTCTCTCATTTCCATCTCATCTTAAATATTGTTATTGTATAAAAGTTGTAACTTCTTGTACTTCGACATTAGTGTTTTTCTACTGCTAATAGAGCTTAGCAACTGTGGCTGCTATTACAAGTGAGAGTTCTTTTCTTCTTCTTTCTTCCTGCGTGCAAACAGAGCAGGCAAGAGACAAAGACATGGGAGGTCTGGTTCAGAGGACTCTTTCAGGGAATTTCCCACAATGTGTCTTCCCCTATCTCTTCCGTAGAATAGTGGACTTCAAGTACATGCATACAGTTGTTTTGGTGCCTGCAACATATGCTCATCATACCCATGGAATCTATTCATTATACCCATATAATTTTTTATTTCTTAATAAATGTTCAGTTAATATTTTTAAAAACTCAAAACTCAAAAAGTTATCCTTATTAGTAGCAGCCTTTACTCATATCTTGTTGGTTGTACTAAATACATGCAAAATGTCATTAGGTTAAGCACAACAAGCCCTTTCTGTTTTGCACCTGAACTGAAACTTTCTTTCTTGATGCCATATACAAATCATTATTGATGCAGGCTTATAGACCTTCGCAACATTTGGCTCATTTAAACCACTATGTCTGAAAATGTTACTGCCATCTCTTCTGGTAGGATTTTGGGAGGCAGTTACCCGTCCAGACCGTAAGTAATGCCAGGAACGGGAAAAGATCAGGGAAGAGGGATGCTGCCTCACCAGCAACCCATCTGAGTTCCTGGAGGGAGAAAATTCAAGATCACTGCTACTACTGTTGACAGTACTTTTGTTCACTTTTACATAGTTTCACATAGTTATTTCTTTCTATTTCTTTCTATTTCCTTATATATTTAGAAGGAAACACATGGAACACAATCCTAATCAACACACTGTGGATGACGCTGCATTGTGTCCATTGTTTCCATTATTCCTCTTCCCCCCATGGTCAAAAATAGTTTTTTGAAGAGTGCATAGAAAGTTTAGTTTCAGTTTCATTTGTGCCTTTGAGGAGAAGCAGGTCATTTCACTCTCCTACTCCACATAAACTGCTGAACTAGTTTAAAGGCTTCTTCTTTCTTTGAAACCTTACTATTACAGAGAATACGCAAGGGATTGACCTTTTACACAGTGTAATATGCAAGACCAAATGGACTTTCAAAGCCGACTGCAGAGAATTACTCTGGAAAATGATCTAAAAATTCAGGAAATAGTATGGCTGTTCACTTATTCGAGTACTCATTTGTTGCATTGGTATTCGTTTGTCCGTTTAGTATTTTTATACCACAAAAACTCTAGAATAAAAAAGGCCTCTAGATAGAAATGTTATTCTTAATATATGGAAAATGTTGAAAAAAGCTGATTTAATTCAATGCATTATTAATTTGCATGGGCTGTGGGACAATGTGGGAGTCGTGGTACAACGTGGGATTCTTGGCCTGGGGGCAGTCATGGGCTGGAGGTAGGGAACCAGCCTTGTGACCGGAGGGCCACCGGTCGATCCCCTGAGGACATGACATACGTGCCCTTGAGCAAGGCACCTAACCCCCAACTGCTCCCCGGGCACGATGGATCGGGCTGTTCATCGCTCCAGGCAAGTGTGGTCACTGCCCCCTAGTATGTGTGTCCACTAGAGTGCATGTATGTGGGTGTTTCACTGCATGGATGGGTTAAATGCAGAGGTCAAATTTCTCTGTGTGCAAGCACAAGTGGTCAGTGGTTCTAAATTAATTCAAAAAATGAGTGTGCAACAAACTACACTGCTGTCCATATGGCTAAAAGAGCAAGGACGCCTACGAAAAAAATGTGTACAAGAGCACTTTAACCCCTTAAATGGCCAGGCCCCACCAGCAGATCCAAAGGTTTATCACACACTTCTATAAGCTAAGAATAGCTCAACCAGTTTGCACTGAAGTCCCTGTAGTTACTGAATAATATGTCTTGGTATATAATAAGCCTGGGATTTTAAGGGTTTCATTTGTCATATGATATTTAAGATGAAGTTGGTATACCATGAATGCACAATATGTTTGATGGATCATCTTCAGCTCTTTCTTTTCTAATTAAACAGTTTTATACCAAGTAAAATTTGACGGCACAAACAGCAGATCTTTTTACTGCGACGAAATCACAATCACAAGTATTAATTGCTGTATCAGAGAAGAGTCCTCCTCCACTCCTCCTACTCCTCTATATACTGTTAGTACAGCACAGGAGCTGCTCTGCAACTACCACACCAACAAGATCATCATATTTTAGTAAACTATTTTAGATATAGTTGAGGACGCTACAGAAAGTGTCAATGTGTGATTTTACTGCATGTCTATAGAGTTTACACAATAACAACACAATAGGTCAGAAGGGCTTGTGTCTGAATGGAAGTAAGTGTGGACTGAAACACTGATTTAAAGCTACACTATGTAACATTTGGGGATTTGGAGACCTCTCAGGTGGAAGTTTGTTATTGCAGACAATATGTAGAGGAACATTTTGTATCGTTGGTTATCCTTTGGGATGTGGATGAATCTGATGATTGCGAGCAAATTGGAAGAGTATTCATAGAGAACTGTCAAAACTTGGTGCACGACGTGTCTTCTGAGAATCTGAGTGAATGATCTACTATTGTCATCATATTTTTTAATCAGTATACTGCTGATTTTGAATTTGATACCTACTTAATTTTACCAAAAATCCCCAAAAACTTACATAGTTATGCTTTTAATGAATGTATATCTGTACCTTCGGATGGATGACAAAAATGAGCGTTCAATCACTCATTTGGAAATCTTGATGAGGATTCAGAGCATATAAAATGTTGTTTGGGCTAGCTCTGTTAAACAGACACAAGATTAACCCTCATTTACACTATATTGCCAAAAGTATTCGCTCGTCTGTCTTCACACGCATATGAACTTGAGTGACTCCATTCTTAATCCATAGGGTTTAATATGATGACGGCCCACCATTTGCAGCTGTAACAGATTCAACTCTTCTGGGAAGGCTTTCCCCAAGGTTTAGGAGTGTGTTTATGGGAATTTTTGATCATTCTTCTTCTTGTATGAGAAGACCTGGCTCACAGTCTTCACTCTAATTCATCCCAAAGGTGTTCTATCGGGTTGAGGTCAGGACTCTGTGCAGGCCAGTCAAGTTCTTCCACACCAAACTCACGTATCCATGTCTTTATGGACCTTGTGCACTGGTGCGCAGTCATGTTGGAACAGGAAGGGGCCATCCCCAAATTGTTCCCACGAAGTTGGAAGCATGAAATCTCTTGTTATGCTGAAGCATTAACAGTTCATTTCATTGGACCAAGCCCAACTCCTGAAAAACAACCCCAGACCATCAATATAGTGTAGTTTACTTTTACATTACTAATCATAGAACCTAATACTGTACCATGTTTAATTGGTTAAGAAAATCCATTTCACACTAAAAATTTTTCTGGGCTCTTCTGAAACTTTGTCTTTGTCTTCAAACATTTGTCATGCCCAGCATTCTGCTCAGTCATCCATGTCAGAAAACAGTTTGCCCAACTACATCATGTACAGTTTGCTAGAGTTTGCGACTTGATACCAATAATGACCACATTCTCTGAGAACCCTACACAGCATAATGAAATCAGACCTCAGCCACTGCTCTCTGGGTAATTTCCACAAGAGAGGGAAGTTGGATCGTGAGGAAGCTGTGCTACGTAAAGTGAAAGTTACTCAATCAAAGGCTGGGAAAGCGGAAAAACCCCAACTTGAGCATTTAAAAGCACTGAAGCACTGGCTCATTCTCAAAGCTTCTTGAGCAGCCTGAAGAGCATCACCAAGAACATCTTGAAGAACAAGAGCAAAATGAAGTCTACAGCAGCTTTTGTTGTGGTTGCCTGTGTCCTTATGGTGCACGTACAAGGTACTGTTCTTTCTTCCACTGGTCAGATCTTACTTGTTTGGACTGTAGCTCATTTATTGTTTGTACACTATTAAATAGAGGTATAGTAATATAACAAACTATGCAATTTTCTTCTACTTTCAGGTCAGGCCAGGCCTAGTGTGAGGAGATGCTTATGTCAAGGTTCTGGACTGAACATGGTTCGTCTACAACGTGTTGAGAAGATTGAAGTTTATCCTGCCAGTCCGTCTTGTGAAAATATTGAAATGATGTAAGTCCACTATCAATTAAATGTTAATGTACAGTGCCACTTAATGGCTTACTTCCATTCAACAATCTAACAAGTTTATTTTCATTCTTTAGTGTTACCTTGAAGAATGGAGCAGGGCAAAAATGCTTGAACCCAGCATCCAACTTTGCAAAGAATTACATCAAGAAGGCCATCCAAAAGAGGTGAGAACATCAGCTTGAGCACAATAGTACTGACTGTTATGTATTACTCAGAGCTTTTGTTCAATAAAAAGGCACAAAAGATGAACATGCATTTCTCTTTAGATAAGAGAAGTATGAACAAATCTGTATTTTAAAATAAAATCTTTGTTTTTCATAGGAGTGCTGAAACAAAACATCAGTGAAGATGTGCAAGAGAAGACTGTGAACGGCATCCGCTCATCCATTTCAAAATCCTGCACTGAGACAGTTTGTCTTGTTACTTGAACTGCATATTTGCATGATTATAATTGCTTTTTTGTCACAAAAACTATAAATATATAATTCGCCTGTGTTTTGTTATGTTAATTTATGAAAGAGGTACTTTTGTATTTCGCCAGTGACATAATGTATATTAATTTATGTGATTTTTGGTTAGAAACCTTTTGTAACATTATTTTTTCTTTTTTATATACTGTTATGGTTTTCATGTTTTACCTTTTGTACCTATTTAAAATACAATAAACTGTGCACATACAGTGCTTGATACAAATCAAACTCCAGAAATGTTCCTTATTACATGACAAATACATTTTCTCAGTAATGTCAACCCACTACAAACTTCCTGGCAGCATATGCAGGTGTGATATGAGACATTATTTGTCTTTTTGAATGATATTAGACAAATGGTAGCCCTTACAGTCAGACACTAACTGAAGTAAACTACAAGCGTCACTAAATTCCTGACCTAGTACGGTGAATGTACAAGTAGTGCAGTGCAGTTTTTGGCCAGATTACTGGAGCACAACATTTAGGAGCAAGAAGAATCAAAGAAGATCATTCATTAGAAGGGAAAACATTAACAAAACCTTTAGAAAGATACTAAATATCAGCTGAAATGTCAAATTAAAGATGCATGCATATCAACTCTGAGTTTTGTTCTCTGCCAAAAATGCACTAAATGAAAATGTTAAGACAAACTCATGATTTCTTCACATAAAACAGATTTTCACACTAATTCACGTCAACTAGAGGACTGTATTCCTGCAGGACACCCACAGGACACAATGTCTTGGCACAGGGCTAATTTTCAGTGTTGTGCATGGGAGCAGGCAGTTAATCAGTCCAGTGACTGATGATAATTTTGCAACTGTGGCAAAAATATTATTAATATTATGAATTCTGCCATAATTGAACAGCCCTAAGTTCCACAGTTTTGGTGAAGCATTAAGTAAATGAATAAAACAATATAATTTTCTTCTGCATGCAGAACATGGGGGTAATATTGCCATAAAGATGAAGCCTAGTGTAAGGAGGTGCCTATGTCAAGATCCTGGGCTGTACATGGTTCATCAAAAACATTGTGAAGGTTGAAATTCATCTTCTGCACCCCTGTTGTAAAAGTGGAATGTGGAAATTATATGAGAATTCTAATTCATAATCAGAGTGATGAATAAGACAGCATAGTTAAACTCCTTTCAAATACCATTTAATTTATTTTAGGCTTCTAAAGTTACTCTAAAGAATGGTGGAAGAAAAGAATGCTTGAACTGAGAATCCAGATTGGCCCAGAATTGCATCACTTTGGCATTTCCAAAGAGATGAGAACATCAGTGCTATGTACTATTCTGAGAAGTGTAAAACATTAAAGACCAAAATTATTTGTCTTTTACTTCGTAAAACAATATAAATAGGGCTTTTATTTACATTGTTTTGTTTATTTAGGAGTGCCCAGCATGTTAATGTGGAATAGAAGCCTATGCAGAAGCCTATGCAGTACGACTTGTGTGGGCTTTCTTATAGATTTTTTTTCTTATGTAAGAATATAGTTTTATAGAATATTTGCATCTCCAAAGGAAAGGGAAAAACAATCTTAACAAATAATCAAAGTTTAACGAAAAACATTTTACAAGTAATTTTGGTCCATTTTTATTTATCTATTACTCATGAAATTTTCACACAATCTGAAGGTCAGTGTTTTTTCAAATTACATAAAAAAGTGAAAAACAACAAATGCAATGCTGTGTATTTCTATAGAAACACTTCAGTAGTTTTGGAAGATTTTATTTCAGATAATCATGAGATTCTGTGTGGAATCAGTGATATCCTGAAAATGTGGAAGCCCACTATACAAAAAAGCCTGCATCCCAAAATTACCCAATCAGCACTGACACTCTGATTGACTGATTCTCAGTTGGAGGCTATTAGCAATCCAACGAGAATTCTGAAAATGGTTCCAATGAAAGCTTTGAAAATGTTAGCAGAACCCTTTTTGGTGCTACATAGAACGATTTTCAAAAAGGAGAACCATACACAACACATTCTCCATCAATCTGAAGAACCATTTCACCATGCAATGAACCATTTAAGCATGCAAATGGTTCTTTGAGGGTTCAGGGTTCTATACAGAACCATTGTCTTCTTTAAGGAACCCTTAAAGGACTGTATTTTGAAGAGTGAGCACAGAGATAGGTAGAGGTAAATGTAAATGTGTTTAATTAAAATATGGTCATTTCGCATTAAAAACAATGTGAAACTTCATCACTTGATTCAGTATATAGGCTTCAACATGTATTTTCAGCTAAATAAATAAGTTAATAATAATAATAATAATAATAATAATAATAATAATAATAATACAACTACAGCAGTACACAGAACATCAAAAACAAACAAGAAGGCACAGTGTAACAGGTCACATCTATTTATAGAACTGTAATAGCAGCATATGAAAGAATGTAAGGATGAGAAATGATCAAATGACAGCAAAAGGTACATCACAAAAAATAGCTTTATGACACTGTATGAAGTGATATGCAGAACAAACCCTTTAGTTACCCAAGAACATTGAGCAGATCAGAGAATACACAAATGAAATTAGACAAAACCTGGTTAAAACTGCCAAACACAAGTGTATTTAGCCCCCCACATAGCATGCTGCACCTTGCTTTTCCCTGAAATTATATTGCATGCGTAATACCTGAAAAGACTGACTGAGTGGAATTTACAGTTTAACAACACCACATGGAATTTCAAAGCTAACCGCAGAAAAATACCATGTGCCTAATAGCTGGATGTTGATGGGAGTTTGGTTTACTATGGTCCAGGGTAGCAACAAGCGAGTGAAAACACAAAGTCATATGCACCCCTAGTCAAATTAGCTGATTTTCTAAGTGAAAATACATACGTCATCTATAGAGAACATACTTCTGCACATTTTAATGCACAATTACTGTTGCGTAATTGCTGAAAAACCATAAAAAGCCTGTATGAGAACTTTAGCACAGATTATATATTATGTTTCAGTCTTTTTCAATATGGAAAAATCTGCAAATAAATATAAATTGTGCACTAAAATTAGCAAAAAAAATGCTTGTTTAAGTTTGATTCCTTTATAGGATGTTTTCACATATTTTCACTTAGAAAATTAACAAAACTGGTCCAGGAGCCGGACCAGGAGTGTTCAGACTTTTTCATATGCTGGTACATCCAAAGGGCATCAATGACAAAATAAATAAATAAATAAAGTGTAGGCAATATACACATACACTGGATATGCAGAAACAAGAATCCAACAAAATAACAGGCAAACTAACAGATCAAACAAACACTCAGAATGCTAAATGCTATACAAAGACTAAAGCTAAGACAAGAAGTATACAGGAAACAAGACACAGGTGAAGACAATGACTACTGGATGATGCTAGAAGCTACACATTTACATTAGTTACTGATGACAGAGTGGATAAAACGCTTTCAGTTTCATTTCTCACTTTGCAGACAAGCATGCCATTAGCCTCCTCCTCCCAAAAAAAAACCCTGAACACTGAACTGCCTCAAAGGGTTCTCTTTTCTCTGAAATCTTACTATTACAGAGAATTCCCAAACAACATGCGCAGTTTAGCAAAACCAGACTTAAAGCAACTGCAGAAAAATACACTAAACATAAGATTATTTTAAAAAAGCATGAAATAGACAGCTGGGCTTAACTTACTTCATTGAAAATGACAAAATCAGAGAGGTTTTACAATCTACTGTAGCTGTATCCAGGGCCGTAACTAGGAGCGAAATTTTAGTGAGGTCCACTTTGCCAGACACTGACCTACATCACATAGTGATCACAATTCTCAATTTCAATTTCATTTTTTTTACCAAGTTATTGGTTCTTTTTTAACCATTCATAATTGTTATGGACCTTTCCTGTCCTTCCATTACCTATTAGTGTTCCATAAACTGAGTAAACTGACGGCTTTAGTTACCCTGTTTAATTTTATTTAAGTAATCACTTGACAATTATTTACATATTTATTTTCAACTGAAAATACATTTTGAAACCTGTATGCACAATCACACTAATCTTAATTTACCCAATTTACCCCAGCAAACACAAAAGACAGGGTATTCATACAGTTAATGGGACAAAGTACAGCCTAATGCACATGTTGGTTTCTTATGTTAGAGGTTACATTAATTTGCTAGTTAACAGTGAATCTTCTCATTGCAGTTGTATTATATTATAATGATATTATGGGGTTTGCATTTTACAAGTAAAATTTGTTAATTACACTCATAAATTTTCACAATTATATCATAGCTATGTTGTATGTTAGCCTATGTGTACAGTCACATAGCTAAACACCTCAAGAAGTCAATGTCACTCAGGGTAGCTTAGTCTTGTACAGTGATAAACCAGAGACGTTATAAATTAGTAGACCAGTCACTGCTTACAATATGAATGGGAAAGCTTGCAACACCCAACACGGCGTCTATTTGCGGAAAAAGGCCCAGCCTTCATAAAAGAAGGGTCTACGATACTGTGGCGCTAGTGGGGAAAACCCCCTCATTGTGGAGTTCTGCGCAAGCACAGTAGCCAAAACAACCTTTTCTGTGTCTTACTGAACCAAATGCTACAGAAAATTTATGAGATCATGTCAGATTTCCTGGTGATTTCAAATATGTTTTCTAAATGGTAATTTGACCTTCAGTTTTGAGTATTTTGGTCTCTCTTCATTTAGAGAGCTAGTATGGCTGGAAATGACTGCCTCACAGTGTTGCAAAGACGGCTGCCAAGTGAACAGACTTTCCTACAAGGAATTAAACACAACAGGTGGTTATGTCTGTAAACATAGCACAGCTGTTCTGAGGTCAGCTGAGAGAGATTGCATCATAATTAGTTATGGCTATGGCTGCGTCAAACTTTCAGTCAGAGCCTGGTTTGGACTGCCAGTAAGTTATCTGCTATTAAAATAAAGCTGCATACATTACTCAGAGCCCCATTCTGCAACAGCCCAAACAATGTGATGAAAATGGACTTTCAGTCTTGCTGACCAGGCAACGTATTTCCAAAGATTAAGGAAGCTGACATGTGGAATGTGGAAAGTGGAAAGTGAAAGTAGCTTGATCAAATAGACTGGAAAATGAAAGCAGCTCAGTAAAAGGCTGGGAGAACCCCAATCTGAGCATATAAAGCTTGAGTAAGCCCTGATTCATTCTCAAAGCATCTTGAGCAGTCATAATAGCATCTTTAAAAGCATCACCAACAGAAACTTTTTTGCAGCATTTGGCTGAATCTGAGCAGAAAGCACAGCTCTATACACATCAGAATTCATCCTGCTGCTTCTATCAGCAGTTGCATCATCAATAAACACCAGTGTCCCAGTTCTATTGACAGTCATACATGACCATGCCATAACACTGCCTCCACCATGTTTCACAGATGATGTTGTACGCTTCGGATCATGAGCGCCTCCTTTGCTTCTCCATACTCTTCTCTTCCCACCATTCTGGTACAAGTTAATCTTGGTTTCATCTGCCCAAAGAATCTTGTTACAATAGTAGGCAGTTTTTTTTAGATGTTTTCTAGCAAAGAGAGTGTTATCAGTGGTTTGCATCCTGAGGTAAACTGTCTGTATTTACATTCATGAAGGTGTCTCTTGATTGTAGATTATGCTGCTGAGCTCACCAGTGCATTCCTTTTTAAAAAAATGTATCAAATTGTTGATTTGGCCACTCCTAAAGTTTAGTCTAACAATGGCCCCCTTCACTTGCACTGACACCTCTTCAGACCACATATTGAGAGTTCCCATAAACAGCTACCACATGCATATTCAACCTTTGGAATCAACTCCAGACACCATATCTCCCCGATTTTTCATGAAATAATGAGGGAACAGGCCACACCTGGCCATGAAACTGCTTACAAGTCAACTGTCCAACTATTTCTGGGCCTGTGAAAATGGCGGGACTATGTAAAAAATGGCTGTAATTCCTAAACACTTCATGCAATAATTTTGGTAAACCCTTTGAATAAAAGCTAAAAGTCTACACTTCAATCACATCTTGATTGCTTCGGTTTTAAATCCATTGTGGTGGTGTCCAGAGGCAAAATTACAAAAGATGTGTCACTTACCAAATATGGGTCTGACTGTATATCAAGAAAAAATAGAAAATTTTATAATAAATGTGCTTTGGTATGAAAACCTTCATTTGTAGATATGTGTAGAATGTGGAATGATATTTGGCTTTTCAACTGTTATATCAGGAAAATCACATCAACTGGATTGGTGAGGTAATGGAAGCCAGGTATTCACTAAAGGTAAGCACAGTACCAACAGCTAAATGATCTATTTTAAATGGCCAGACTGTTTTCTTTCTGACCTTTCTTCTCACAGAGCCTGAAGCAGATGTTAAATGTTGATCTCTAAAAATCATAGGGGTTAGTATACAAGCAGACAGTAATCCATGCTGATGAGTAAGGACAACAGGGAGGCATGGACCAGAAAACAAGCATAATCCATGACATGCAGGTACAAACATGCATGCAAAACCTCACAAAGACAAGCACAAATCACAGGCTATTGTCTAACTAGATTCAAGATAAAGTGAATAGAAAGTATCAAATAGAATGCCAGGATGGAGACAATGTGACAGACAATGTAAGCCAGAGACTCACTGAGGGAAACAACCACTAACAGCAAAAACATATTTATATGGTATAGTAAAAGTAAAATACGGGTACATCAAATTAATTCATTCGTTATGTCACGTGTGAGGAATCATCATTATCCATTTAAGTGCTGACTACAGTGAAGACCTGTATGAACATCATGAATGTCTCCTGTAAACTAATGATATTGGTACCTTAATTAGAACATTAATTAGTACATTGCTCCTGCATTAGGACATGTATGACACATGGCTAACTTATGCATATTCATAATGACATATATGAGTGAATAATTCTCCATACAACATAAGACATGAATTAGTGATAATTCATGTACCCTTATTATGAAGTGTCACCAATCTGCAATTTGGAATAATTTGTCCACACTAAGCACATCATGCAGGAACCTGGCTGTTTCTACTGTCCAAAGTAGGTGGTTTTATTACATTGTGACAGCTATTCTGTGCTGGTCTGAAGAATGATGCCACACAATGGAAAAAAAGGAAAACACATCAAAATCAGAGTGACAAAATCTCACTGACTAAAAACCCAAACATACCAAAGAAATTAGAAAGTAAGATCAAGAGGAACGAGACTTTAGGAAGTGAAAGCAGCTCCAAAAAGACCAATTTCACCAAAATAGCTGGGAAAGGCCAATCTGAGCATATAAAAGCTCCGAGATTTCTCATTCAGTCACTGCTTCACTCTGACAGCTGCCTGAGCAGAAACCAGCAAATCCAAATCATCACCGAGAGCTTCTTCACAATGAAATCTGCTGCAGCTTTTGTTGTTCTCGCTTGTCTGCTTATGGTGCACGTACAAGGTAGGAGTCTGTCTTTCATTTGTCATCTACAGTCTTAAAAAAGGATGGTGCTCGAAGGTCCTTTGGTAAAGGGAATGGTTCTATATAGAACCATTTCATGCTTAAATGGTTCTTTGCATGGTAAAAGAGTTCTTCAGATTGATGGACATTGTGATGTATATGGTTCTATACAGAACCTTGTTGAAAATGGTTCCATATAGAACAAAAAAGCGTTCTTCAATTGGGTGCTATATAAACCATTTTTAAAAAGATTCTATATAAAATCATATACAACATATTCTCCATCAGTCTGAAGAACTAACTCATAGTTCTAAATAGAACCATTCCCATTACTAAAGAATCCATAAAAATGTAGTAGCTCATTGTCCTTTATAAAACATAAAACAGATGTGTAATACTTTATTAAATGATATATAACTGTATTTCCTTGCAGGTCAGGCCAGGCCTGGGGTAAAGAGATGCTTATGTCAAGGTTCTCCGGTGAACATGGTTCGTCTACCACGTGTTGAGAAGATTGAAATTCATCCTGCTGGTCCATCTTGTGAAAACATGGAAATTATGTGAGTTCCGTAACTTCTCATATAAAGAACTGTGGGTATAGCAGAACTCTACTCCATTCAGGAGTCTAACCTGATTGATTTGCTATTTTTCCTTCTAGTGTCACTTTCAAGAATGGTGTAGGGCAAAAATGCCTGAACCCAGAATCCAGTTTTACCCAGAATTACATCAAGAGGGCCATTAAAGACAGGTGAGAACATCTACTGGTGTAATTATTATGTATTTTCTGAGTTAGTAGCAGTAGAAGAAAAAGAATTGCAAAGACGTTTAACAAATTGTTTATGGTTTTAGGAGTGGCCAGTAAAGCAAGTGGCAACACACCAGTGACGATGTGGAAGACGAGGCTGTGAATCGTCTTTTTTTTTTTTAATTCTGATAATGTGCCCTGCTAACTAGTTAACTGACATAAGAACATGAAATGTTTTCTAATATTGTAAAATTGTAAATACTGTTGATTCAGTAATGAGAGTGACACCACTGTATACATAGCCTGTTTGGAAAAAAGCTGTTATTAGAGTTTGTGATTTACTTTGTGTATATATTATCAGTTTTGATGTCTTAACTGCTTTACCTCTATATATTATGTGCTGTATCTAGAATACAATAATTTGTACACATAAAGATGCTGGACACTTGAGAAATATATAATAAAATATACTGTGGAAACTTTAAATAAAAATGTAATATACTACTCATTAGCAACATGCCAATGAACTGTTCTTAATAATGTCTGCCCACCATCAAAGGTCAGCATTTGTAGATGTGAAGTATCACAATTGAAAGGTCAAATATTAGACAAACAGTAACAATTAGATTAGAGAGACAATTTAGGTCAGGGATTTACTGAAGCGACACAACCAACAACAGCAAAATATTTTATTTAACCATTGTGTGGTGTTGATGTGTTTGTTCCTCAGTGGTCTGGTGGGCCCACCGCATTATTGTTTTTTTAAATCAATACAGCCATAACAATTTGTGTTAAATGCCAGATGTTTAAAATATCACCAGTGGCCAGTGTAGGGTTCTCCTTTAGCAGCTGTAGCCAGTCCACAGCCTGTCCGTGTTGTCCCCCCCTCACACAAACGCACACATATACAAACACATACACACACAGACACACACACACACTAATGGCAGGCCATGTAGGAGGAGAACAGAGTGGAGAGACACAGTACCTCCACACTTTTACTCCCTGCAGGTTCACCCCAACACCACGTGCAATGTAAATGTGTAGGGTGTGAACAGTGAGAAGTCATTGAAAATGTGCTATTTTATATGTTCTTCACAGAAAATGAGCAAAGGCCAAGAAATCTGGGGTTGAAATAATAATAAGTCGCACAATTTTTAATTTTGGGAAGCATTGAAGTGGGTCCCACAGACTCGAACACTAAAATTTGGTGCACACAAGAAACTCTCAGGTGACCACCAGATACTATTAGGTGAGCACGAGATACTATCAAACAAAAAACATACCATGTCCATAACTTGTGCTCACCACATAATATCTAATGCTCACCTGATGTTATCTGGTGCTCACCTGATAGATTTTTACATAAAAAGTGTAGCCCATCCTTCAGGGGCTCTGTAAACTATAAAATACTCTATGTTTTTTGTTTTTGAAAAAGCTGTCTGAGCATATTTGACCTTGTATGTACAGTAATTGGAGTGTCAGTAAGCTCTGTTAAAAATCTCAAATTCTCCACAAAGCCTGAATAAAAGCAGAATTTAGAATTTATCAATAACATGTAGAACATCCAGAAATTCGCTGTTATATCTACAGAAAAAAGTTGATGATTCAAACAAAATAATAATATTAATAATAAAAAAGAATAACTGTTAAGTGCTGATTAAATGGCAACAACCAAATCAATGCAATGAAATTTGTTGAGAGGCAGAAAGTGAAAGCAGCCTACCAAATAAGGCCATTTCCACCAATGGAGAGGGGATGATCCAATCTGAGCATAAAAAGTCGAGCAATCGTCCTCATTCAATCATTGCTTCGTCCTTATAGCCGCCTGAGCACAAACCAGCAAATTCAAAATCATTCTCAAGTGTCTTCAAGAACAAGAGAAAAATGAAATCTGCTGCATTTTTTGTTTCTCTTGCTTGTCTGCTTATATCGCAAGCCCAAGGTAGGATTCTTTCATTGTCATACTACATTGAAATGTGTCTCCAGTACTGTTTGCAGAGCTTTAAATAGATGTTAAAAATGTAACAATGGTACAAACTACTTGTAGATCTTTGAAAATTACACATCATGTGTAAATTGCATGATGAATGGAGCAAAAGAAATGGCTCAGAATTACTTGGAAAAACTCTAGTTGCACTGACATATTAAAAGTAAAGTATGTTTTTTCCTTCTCCTGTAAAGATACAAGGTTTTGTTCCGACAGCAGCGATAACTTTCTTTTATTTGCAGAACAGGATAGAGTAAAGCCGAGTGTAAAGAGGTGCTTATGTCAAGGTTCTGGACTGAACATGGTTCGTCTACAACGTGTTGAGAAGATTGAAGTTTATCCTCCCAGTCAATCATGTGAAAACATCGAAATTATGTAAGTTCATTAACCACTCATACAAAGATCTGTTAAACATAATTCAGTTCAATTTAGCTTTCTAACTTTTATTATTTTCCTATTTTGCTGTGCCACCTTAAAAAATGGTGCAGGACAAAGATGCCTGAACCCTGAATCCAACTTTGCCAAGAATTACTTCAAAATAGTATCTGAAAAAAGCTAAGGACATCTGCTTGAATACATGAATATTAAATATTATGTATTTTTCTGAGCTGTTGCTTACTGATTAAACAAGAATAGAGGACAGAAATGAATTTGGCGTTCTACTGGGTGAAGAAACGTAACACTGTTTTTAGTAATGAATGTTGGTTTGTGCAGGAGCACATAATTCATGTGGCCAAACACCAGTGATGATGAGAGGAAGAGTCCAAAATGTTAGCCTCCAATGCAAAGAAGATCAGAGAACACACAAATCAAAAGAGACAGACTGGATAAACCTGCACTCTTATAAATAAAGCTGCCAAAATGATTCTACGCAGGTTCATTTTTCATTTGTCAAGGTACAAAAAATGTTAATGTACGTTCAAATGAACAACAATGGTTCTAAGGTTCTAACTGTGTACCTTAAATATGTTTTTCCCAGGACAAATGTATGTATTTGTACCTCTTCACAATGAGGACAACAAAATAAAAAGGCTGGAGACAAGACAGAGTGTTTGGTGTCAATACAACTTGAAAAATGTAAATTCAGTGGAATATGGTACAGTTTTGATCGCCTAACAAAGGGTACTGAACATGTGTCCTTTAGTCTGGGTACCTTTAGTTGAGAGTGCAGCTCCACTTACAAGAGGGGTACTGCCTTAATGACAGTTCAGTATGTAAAAAAATGTAATTGGTATAGAAACCATATAATGTACAAAAATAATCCTTCAAAGGTTCATTCAATGTTTTTTTGATGAACCAATAGTGGTTCCTTTTTGGGATTGTTCCAAAGACCCCTTTTTGAAATCTTTATTTTTAAGAGTTTTCCTGAAAGAGTATTTATGTATGTGTATTTAGCCCCGACATGACATGCAGTTACTCTTCCTAACTCTAAGTAAACCTCAGAACAAGCACAAACAGTTTACTTTTCTCTGAAATCCAACAACAGGGAAGGACATAAGTCATTTCACTGTGTTTGAACTTTTAACCCTTTAAATGGCCAGGGCCCACAGACGCCGCCAAAGTTTTGTTACACATTACATTTATTTATTACATGTATAACCTAAGAACAGCTCAGCCACTTTGCATTAAAGTCCCTGCATGTACTGAATAATAAGCCTTAGTATGTAATACGCCTGTGATTTCAAAGGGTTAACAAGGCCACATGTAGAAATTTACACTGCACATCAAAACTTTTTAGGATACTACTAACTTTCATTTGTTTCCATTTAGTTGATATTTAGGTTCAAAAGTGGCCATTTAAAATAAAATATAACACTACTGAAATTGGTTCCATATAGAACCAAAAAGTGTTCTCCAATTGTAACAACAGAACAATAGAAGGAGCATTTTGGTGCTATATAGAACAATTTTCAGTCTAATTTGACTCAGTATGATGCAGTGGTGTCTCGAGTCGGTATGTTTTTTGATACAGCAAAAAAAAAGAAGTAGTTGAGAAGGCCTTACATTAATGTGCTAATATTTCCATTTTCTGTTTCTTAGTTTAACATTATAAAATTATCATTTTTAAAATCAAAGTTTATAGTGTCCCAATCAAATGCTCTAGTCACAAGCTAATGTTAGCCCCAAGCTAACACTCCAGCTACAAGCTAAAAAGCCAGTCACGATACAACAACATAATAAGACAATACGCTGCAACACAATGTGATACAATACTATATGTTATATTGTTTCATCCAGAACAAATATATTTGTATCATTTCTCTTTTATGGATGTTTTTGAATAAGACTTTTTTATATTAATCACAAAAATGATGATGCTGATGTTTACAGAAATGTCATCTATCTAGTTTTTCAAGCTGCTTTCTTATGATTCTTGTTTAATTCCAATTTTATTCAGAAAGGACAGAAATTGAATGCAAACGTACAAACGAGAGGTTTAGTTTCAGTTTCATGTGTCCCTGAAGAGAAGTCTGTCATTAACCATAAACCATGTTATTAAAATAGAAGAAGGAAAAGGAAAAAGTCTGCACTACCTCAAAAGGTTCTCTTTTCTCTGAAATCCTACTATTACAGTGAAAGAGATATATTTGGTTTTGATGTAAATAAAAGAAACATAAAGAAAAAATATGCAAAGTGTTATTCCTTCACTACTTGTGGACGTGTGGAGAGATGATATAAATTTTCAATAAATGGCAGTAACTGGAGAAAAACAATGTATGTCAGGGACTCACCAAGAGAAAGAACAATAGGCTTTAGTGAAAGTGAACTTAGAGGTAGCATTACATATTACCTAACATATTGACGGGACCTGTTCAATGAATGTAGCTAATGTAACCATTCTGCTCTTTCCACAATAGGCTAATAGGCTGATAGTCATGCACAGGCAGATCATTACATAGCTTAAAATGATCACAGTTACAACTTATTGGTATTGGCAGCTAAATACATTAATGCCATCTCCTTCAACACTGAAACTAACAATTACATGAAATATCTGTGCATGGAGAACTAGAATCCAGCACAAAAAATCAATGTGACCTATTTGGCACCATACAGCCCTCCCAAAACATTACATCAAAAACAGTTAGCATCTCAAATATAATATTAGGGCATAGCATTCACTAGAATGACATCGACAGCTTAATAAACTGTACATACATGTGGACTCAATGGCAGAGTAAGCAAAAGAGAGCACCATGCTAGAAAGTGAGCACAAAATAATAAAATTCCAAGTTACACTCCATGTAATAGTTAAGCAATAGAACATGAGAGGGAGTGTTTGATAACACACAACCTCGAGTGTTCTATTGCTTTTATACAACAGTTAAATAAATAAAGTAAGAAATAAATAAATTGGGCTGTGAACGTGGAATTTAATATGTTTTAATGTCAGCAGTTCCTTCTGCCAAATTATAGTTCCTTAACAAGCAGTGTGTTTCTACGTCACAGTAACGAGCTCTGCTCACTCGCTGCACAGCTAGCAGTTCATTCTCC